TCTAGACGAAGAGAGATAAATATATTCAAACGCAAAGAAAATTGTCATCCTTAACCTGTCATTATTCTATTAGGGCCTGTTTGTTTCACCAATTTTATGGAATAGGAATGGTATTTGGACCTAACAGTGGCATTTTCATAATTAAAGGATTCCAAATGAATCCTAATCTTGAGTTTGGTTCAAAAAAAATTAACAGATTTGCTAATCTATAAAGTGGCCAAAACAATGCATATTTGTGGAATCCCAAAACCTCTCTGTTTGAGAGGAATTGGGCCATTCCTAATCTTCGAAACCCTAGCTCTGGTTAATCCGTGGTTTCCCCGCTGTTCTTCTCCTGCCTCAGCTCTCTCTTCTTCGCGCCTCTTCTTCGCTTCTCTTCTCCCGCCGCTCGTCATGGCTTTTGCGTGGTCGAGGCTGGTACTCGAAACCCTAGATCTAGTTGAGCCGTGATTTTTTTGTAGATTTTGCGTGGAATCGGCTTCTCCCTCTAATCTGATCCCACCTCTTGTTGAGCTTGTTGTTCTCTTTGTTTTGATGATGTTTAACAAATAATTTACCACTAATATTGTTTGTCTAGTATTTGTGTTTTCTTATTTATTGTAGACAAACAATATGTTAGAGGATGGATGGAATTGAACATTCACGATCATATCCAATGGAGGTTGGCGGAAATAGTGGAGTGAAGCAATGTAATTCAAGTTGAAGATCCAAGTTCAAGTTTCATCCGCAAGTTTACCAAGTCGAGGTTATTAAAGACCTATAGCTTGGGTATATCTAGTTTTAAGTTTTATATTATGTGTGTTAGTACTTTAAGCTCAATTACATACGCACACATTTTATTGGTTTATATACATATAGTTATATATATACATATATGTTTTGGTTTGATAGTTTTCAAGTTTTAATATGAAACAATTGAAAATATGCAATTTTGTGAAAATATTGTATTCTTAGTTTTTGGACTTAACAATAATCATATACATCTTTCATTAAGTCTACAAAATTATTTTGTAATGTTTTAAAACATGGTTAAGCTAAAATGTTAAAACTCGTATGTTCACATTTTTATGTTTTGGACTATTTTATAAAATGATGATATTTTTCATTTGGGATGTTATTTTTAAAAACTAGTTTTTGTAACATGTGTATTATCATGTTTACAATCATTTTTCAAAGTTTTATATTTTTATGATTTTATTTGCTATTTTTAAAAGAGGTTTGAAATCAGATTTCTATTTAAAACAGACTGTGTGCATGTCTTGAGTCGACTCATGAATAGTGTTAAGTCGACTCATAAACTATTGTGTAGTTTACATTTTGTTTCTATTGAGTCGACTCATAACATCATGAGTCGACCCATCAGGTTGAGTCGACTCATGCCTGTCATAAATCGACTCATAAACTGTGCTGGAAAGTATGTTTTGTTTTTGCTGAGTCGATCCATGACTTCATGAGTCGACCCATGCATGATGAGTCGACTCATGAATTTTATGAGTCGACCCATAAGCTGTTTTAGCCTATAACGGCTAGGTTATGAGTCGACCCATGATTTTTATGAGTCGACCTATAAAGTGTCTGTTGCACAGTAACGGCTATTTTTCAGATTCGTTTTTGTAAGGGTTTTTGGTCATTTTGCTTGGGTTTTTGCTGATGTTTTGGGTGGCTATATATACCTCCTTGCTCTCATCTTTCAGATCTAACAAAGAGAATATTTTAAAGAAGTTTTAAAAAGAGTTTAAGTTTGTTTTAAGTTTGTTTAAGAGTTTGGTTTGTGAAGAAAGTTTCACAAGAGCTTGAGGAAGATCATCAATTGTGTTTAAGCATTCAACTCTTCTCCCTCTCCCTCTTGATCTATAGAGAAGTTTTCCTAAACTCTTTTTCTAGCTTTATATCTATTTGTTTGATTATCATTTTATTAATGCTAGTTTTATATTGAGTTTAGATTTGATTAGTCTAATTGTTACACACATCCACATGAGCTTATTGTATTTTCATACATAGTATATTTGGGTTGGTGAGAGTTGTAACAATTGATGTGAGCTTACATTGTGTTCTCATCTATTGTAGAGAACAAATTTGTTGTATTTGTGCTTAATTGTGAGGTTCACTTTGTAATACACTTGTACACCGAGAGGAGTGTGTGAGAGACGGGGTCGAATCCAAGAGGAATAGTGTCGGTTGACGAACCTAGGGAGATGTTGTATCCGAGCACTTGAGGAGGAGGACACGGGCTAGGCCAATACTTAGAGGGTGTGAAGTGTAGTTACAAGTGTGTGAGTTGTAGAGTTTTCGGTTAGCTAGAAAATCGAATTGTGAGGTATAAACGTTATTCGGATGAGCGTAGAAAACCCGGTTGTGATAGTGGATTTCTCTCCGGGAGTGGGAAGCGGAGATGTAGGACAGAAGGTCCGAACTCCGTGATAATATTGTGTGTTTGCATTGTTTATATTGCTCACTATCTAGTTTAGATTGTTTACCCTTGTGTCATTTATATATCCTTGCATATATTTTACCATATATATCATTGTTAGGATATATCCCTTTGTTCATATTGCATATTCTTGTTCATAACATATTGTATATCTATCTTGTAAGAATATTTTATTAATAAGTTTTAATTGGCATAAAATCGGATTAGATTAGCATAAGACCCTAATCACCCTCCCTCTAGGGTCTAACAGAGCCCTGATTTCTTTGATTTGTTTTCCAACTTCTTGTTGGTAGGTTCCTTGGCTTTGGTTTCTGGTGATCCCTTCTCGAACTTGTTCTGGTTCGGGTGGGTTTGTTGGCTACGGTGTGTTTGTCGGTTTCGGTGGGTTTGTTGCTTGGATTTTAGCTTTTTTCCCTTCTGCAGCTCAAGGTATAAAACTTTTCCCCTCTTTTTTAGACTTATGTCTTCGTGCTTGATGTGATGAAAGGAATCTGGTAGTAGAATGTGTTGTTCTTGATAATTCATTACATGTATAATCACCAAAGAATAGGGTTATGTTTACTAAATTTCAGTTAATTGTGTGAAATAGAATGCATGATATTTGTGTGAATGTGTTGTTCTTGATAATTGTGTTTACCAAAGAATGTGAATGCATGAAAAAGAATTGGGTTATGTTTACCAAAGAATAGGGTTAAATTCATTACATGAAAGGAACCTGGTAGTAGAACGTGTTGTTCTTGATAATTGTGTGAAATAGAATGCAACATTAGTTAAAATAAATTTTAGTATAATTAGATTTCTTGCCTTTCAAGAAATAAATATTTGTATTAATTATCTGATTAGTTTTAAACTGAAATAAGTAGACATATTAAGTTGTAAATGTATGCTAATTTTGAGCTTGTGTAGCTCCTTGGCTTTGTGGGGGTTTGGCTGTTATTTGGAGCTTGTGTAGCTCCTTGCCTTTGGGTTTGTTGCTGTTTTGTTTTGAGCTTGTGTAGCTCCTTGGCTTTGTGGGGTTTTGGCTGTTATTTGGAGCTTGTGTAGCTTCTTGCCTTTGGGTTTGTTCCTGTTTTGTTTTGAGCTTGTGTAGCTCCTTGCCTTTGGGTTTGTTGCTGTTTTGTTTTGAGCTTGTGTAGCTCCTTAGCTTTGTGGGGTTTTGGCTATTATTTGGAGCTTGTATAGCTCCTTACCTTTGGGTTTGTTGCTGTTTTATTTTGAGCTTGTGTAGCTCCTTGCAGTTGATATTTGACAATAATGATGATTAGCGTTTACTGAGAATGTAATCTAACTTACAGTGTTTATTATATTCAGATGAGGCAAAAGGTGATGAGATTGCAGCCTACATTGAATTGACAATGTTTAGGCGAGGCAATCCATCCTTAGAATGCAATATGTAATAAACTTGTAAGTTATAGGTGGGGCAATCAATTTTGACAAGTTGATCTATTCCTGAGCCATACAATATCAACTAGAATTTGTACCCAATTCCAATAACAGTTTTCATTACAACATCAATAGTTTTTACAAGTACAAGTACATGACATGCAGTTTATCATAATTAAAATAATACAAAAAATTGCTAATAAAATTATTAAAATTTTCCAAGCTAATAGTTGATTTTCGACAAGTCTCAATTCTTTATTCATCCTTTTTGATTGTAAAATATATTTATCTCCGTACCTATTTTCTTTGACATATTGGCTTCCATTCTCACTTATGTCTCCTCTTTCTCAGCTCATTCGAAAAAATTACATTCTTTATTTAGGAATTTTGCACACCCCCAATAACACATTCCCTTATTTTTACCATTCTTGCATACTTTCATCAGTGTTCGGAGATTGCAGTCGCAATAAACTTTATAATTTTGGGAGCACTCTTCTGATATCATATTGATGTCGGGGAGGCAAATTACAAACAATGAGAATTTATAAATTGTTGAGAAATGAGAATGCATGGATAAATTTGAGGCCTCAAGTTGAATTTATAGCCTCCAAGACCTTGGAACTAGCCGTTGCTACAGTGTTTTAGCTTTGAATATTGAGGTAGTTAGTGGAACTAGTCGTTGCTACAGTGATTTTGTGATGATCAGTGAGCTAGTCGTTGCTACATTGTTGATCCCTAAAAAATATCATTCTGAACCAAACTAGATATTAGGAATTAGAGGGTTTCTATAAAAGTGAGATTCTATTTTTCCATTGGGTAAAACAAACATAGAATGCAAAAAAATGGGATTCCATAAAACTATAAACTTGTTTTTAAATTTTGTATGGATTAGGTTGGAATCCATTAAAAAAATAGGATTCATAATCCTATTCCTATCCTCTATTGAACCAAACAGGCCCTTATCCAATCTTGTTGACGAGTGTGAAAAACCTTTCAAAAATTCTGATCAGTCTCATAAAAAAATTTCTGATTTGTGATCTGAGCTCAACCAGTTTAAATCTTGAGACAGTAGCTAGAACACAGCACAAGGCCTAGATGTGATCCTGCCCAAATCCAAGTCCAGCAACTGTTGAGGATAAAAAAACTGCACTCTCTCTAGGTTAGAATGTCAGAGACCCAGTACCGAAGCAACAGAAAGAAAGATGCAACTCTCAAACTACAGGGTAGTAGCAGTCGTACACATACAACATAACGTAGCACAGAAATTTTAGATACATTTCATGAGAGAGAGGAACAACTTGTTTAACTAGAAGAGCCTAAGTACGAACACCAGTGCTAGCTAGCTACTCTAGATTTTTAAGGCTAATTAAGTAGTAGTCAGTACGTAGTGCTGCTACAGAGATACTTGAGATCACATGGAGTTAAAACCTTGGGTAGAACAGTAGTAGGAGTTGAGGGTGAGCTCAAGAGATGCAGCAGCTCCATTTGCGGTGTAGTGATGGTGATAGTTATCCTGGTTCTGGTTAACACTAGTAGCAGTACTCAAGTAGCAGGCATGATAACCATTTAGTTGCGCGCAGTAATCAATATTGTTGCAACAGTATTTACTATCATCATCTTCTTTATCTTCTTCTTCTTCTTGATCTTTGGAATGAGTGGGAAAGAGAGGGAGGGTTTCGATCTGTCGAGTCACCATGGTAGGTGGATCTTCATCCTTGATGTAGTGATACATCCATGGCATTGTGGGCTCCATCACCACTGAGCCATGGTCTCCACCTCCTAAAGACATGCATGAGTCCTGCATGTAAACCACACATAACATTATGAAAAATCGGTAGTTAAATATATCAGTTTTCATAATCTATAATATTGCTTATGTGGTGGAGATTTTTTTTATCTTAAGAATAATATGCATGCATATTTTGACTTTTTGTATTGGCATGCAGTTATTTAACACCAAATTTATGGCTATATTCTCACTGACATTTGCTTACTCTGATGCTTCTTTCATAAAAGAAGGGCAGCACTAGCATCAATAAAAAATAAAGAAAGAAAAAGGAAAACAAAAGTGGTGTATACTTACCCTGATGCTTCTCTCCATGAACGCAGTAGGGGAACCACCATAATCATAGCCAACATCGTAAAGACCAGACGAAATCCCTGCACATACAAGGGTGAAACTTTTGAACAAGCCCATTCTTGGAAAATGAGGGGAAAAGTAAATAAAGAAAAGAAAATTTAATTAGAAGAGACCATAGTTAGGGACAATGTTGGTGTGGGTATTGAACTTGTTGCTGTCACTGTTGATAATGTTGTTATTGTGAGTAATATTATTATCCATTGTGAGCTTCTTCTTCTGTCTCTCTCTGGCCTTGTGGTTCTGGAACCAGTAAAACACATTCTTGCCCTCAATCTTGCCATATTGCCTAAGCCTTGCCGAGATCCTTTGGATCTGCTCAGCGGTGGGGGATCTAACACCATTGGTGTAGTAGAGCTCCCTCAGGATCCTGATCTGATCTGCGGTGGGGATCCACCTGCTGCTTGATTGCCTGCAAAGGAAGGAAGGGGAGGTGGAGGAGCTCCTTCCTCCATTATTGTTGCACTGGTACTGATTACTAGGATCCATGTAATCTTATCTTGATTAGTTGCACTATGTTGTGTTTTTGTTTGAGTATTTGAAGAGGAAGGAGATGAGTAAGGAGAAAGTGAAGGAATGAAATGAAGTGGAGCTAGAATGGGAGGGAGGAGGGTGGGGGTGAGTATTTGAAGAGTCAGCTACATTTTGTCGGTTCCCTCTGGTTTTAATAGACTTTTTTTTGGCCCCCCAACCCAACCCAACCCGATTTTGAGCATTCTTTCTAAACTTTGTAGGGGTTGGACCTTGGACCACACTATTGATATTATCTTGGAAATAATTATACAAACGTCATTTAAATTATGAGAGTTTGGTGTAACTAACAATAAATCATAGATGATCTTAGAGTGTGTTTGTCTACTTCACACTAATCTAGTTAAGGCCTTAATATATTATAATTGAAATTGGTTCAAAGATAACCTAGTTAAAAGGCATTTATTAATCTAAAAAATGAGCCCAATCTTAAACAATTTTTTCCTAAACAAATTTTAAGATCTTATCCAAATTAGTGCTATTATATGCTGGTTAGTGGGTGAGTTGCCAAAGAGGCTCTTAGGTGTTATTAGGGATGCATGGTCTATATTATGCGAATTTGATTCAGATATGATCTAATTTTATTGCAAAAACAGAATTTTATATTTAGTCCTATATGTTGGGTACCATGAGAACAAGAATTGTCATGTGGCTCTAGGTGTTTCCAACGGCGGGATCTGAAGAAGCACATTTGTTATAACAGTTATAAGCATAGTATTTTGTAGATCACTAGTAGAAAAACGACCAATCTAGACGAAAAAATTTCCGTCTAGGTTGAATCAAACTAGACGAAAATTTTCCGTCTAGGTTGATCCGTCTAGTTTGGGTCAAACTAGACGGAAAATTCCGTCTAGTTTGTCAAACGAGACGGAAAACTCAACCTAGACGGAAAACTCAACCTCGATAGTTAAAATATGGAATGAGATGTGCTGGAGAGAAGTCAATCTGACTAACTTCTTAACGTTGGTGTATGGTTGTTGATGTGTCTAGGGACACGAACTAACACATCAAGGATCGGGGATTTGTTCCGACCAAAGCCCCTCCATCGCTCAAATGAGTCAACTATAGGGGTTGTTTGGTTCAATTTCTATAAAAAAGAGGAAAAAGAAAAATACTCAAAATTTAATTTTCTTGTATTTCTATAAAATTTGTAGAAAAAATTTATAGAACTTAAAGAGTACCATATTTCTTATTTTTTGCTATTTCTTCGTTTGGTTCAAAGTATGAAAAAGGTTTTAACTTTATAGAAAATATGTTGTTTTCTTTTTCTTTTGTTTGGTTGTATAGAAAATAGCTTACTAACAATGCCCATGGGAAATCACATTGGTATGGTATTGATGTACTTAATTATTTTTTTAATATATGCATCAGATTTCTAGATGATTTCCGCCCATTTTGAGCAAAAATTAATTTCTATAAAATGGAGTACTTTTCTGTACTTTATAGAAATTTTTTCTGTAATTTTTTTAACCAAACATAGTTTATAGAAATCTCAAAAATATAATTTATTTACAAAACTGTCACTATCAGTCATTTTCTATAAAGTTTTCTATAAAACCACTCAACCAAACACCCCCATAGTTGAAAGAAATACAAACTATGATAAGAGGTTATGCACTTGCCAAGTGAAAGAAAGAAGGAGAATTAAAAGAGAAAATATGTGGGGAATCCCCTTTTCGTTCTATTCTCTTCTTGCCAAGGGTGCTCTACCTTAAGGGGTGGAGTCCTTCTTAGAGAATGAGCAAGAGGAGGAAGAAGAGAGAAAGATCACTTTGTCAAATTTCCCATTCTGGTCAAAAGGGTCCCCCTCCCTCTCGGGATGTTGGTATTTGTTATGTACGGAGTGATGTGACCAATGTTATCAAGATTGTTGGCGGTGGTTTTCACCCCTTGGAGAAAGATATCAAGCGGTGACAGACTTAGGAAAGAAGCACTTGAGAAATCAGCATGATATATGACTTTGAGATCTTGTGTAGATTGTGTATTAATTTTGGACCGATTATGTGATTTCTTCAGGAATGGGGCAACCAATCCAACTTGTTTTCAGCTCACTAAGAATATCGCATTAACATAAGCCATGACTCTTCATCTCAGATTTTACTAGGTTAGAGAGTTTTTTTTTTTGTCAATGAAAAAAACTTTTATTGATCGTCCAATTTTTGAAAATGTGAATACATCAAAACTTTACCAGATCATGTCTGGCAAGAATCTAAAATTACAGTCTTCTCGACAAGCTAAGCTAGCTTACATTCTCTCGGAGTAACTGATATGGTGCACGAAGTTTTTGTTGAAAGATCCTCAGATTCCTCTCCTTCCAAATCCAATACACAGTTGCCGATAATGCCATTCTTTTTATTTTCTATCATGAATCTCAGCCCCTTCAAATTTGTGCTATACCAATTCATAATTTGATTCCAATTGCATGATCTCCATGAATAGCCCAACCATTCCATCATTTCATTCTAGATATATGCAGAGTACTGACATTCAAAAAACAGGGGCTTACAGGTTTCCTGTTGAGCCGAGCACAAGACACACACTACAACAAATTGTACTTTTCCCGACGCTTATTCCTGACGCATGGTTAAAAACGTCGCCAAAAAGTATGTTTTTCCTGATGATTTTACTTAGCGTCGGCAAAACATATATTTTCCCCTACGTTTATAATTAGCGTCGCTAAAAGTAGATATTATTTGCGACATTTTAACTTAGCGTCGGTAAAAATGTATGGATTTCCCGACGTTTTTTTATTTTCGTCGGTAAAAGTATAGATTTTAACGACGCAAAAATATTCGTTGAAAATAAAGTATACATTTAGCGACGCACGTTAACGTTGGCAAAGGTGTAGCTTTTAGCGACGAAAAGTTTTGCGTCACTAAAAGTAACACTTTTGCCGACGCTATATTGCGTCGGCAAAAGTGTTACTTTTAGCGACGGGCAAAACTTTTCGTCGCAAAAAGGTAACTTTTACCGACGCTTTCTAATGCAAGTGTGTCGCCAAAAAAAACCCCTCTTTTTTTCATTTCCCCGCTTACTTCCCCCCTCTTTTTTCATTTCCCTCTCCGTCTAAAATGGGCCAAACCCCCTCCCCCCCTCTTAACAAACCTCCCAAATCCTAAATCACAGCTCCCCAAAATCTTGGTTCCCCAAATGCCCCTTCTCACCACCAAAATCCCTCGCTGCCCCCTCCTCCACCTCATCTCCATCGCCTTTGGCGGCACCATCGCCGTCGAATCCCGAGACCAGAAGCTCAACCAGAGCGCCGACGATCTCCTCGCCCTCACAAAGGCCGAGAGCGAAGACTACTCGACCCTCTTCACGTCTCGACGTACTGAAACTAGGGCTCGAGCTTCTCCTGTCGCCGTCATTTCTTTCCTCCCAACCCTCGGTGAGATCTCAAAACCCTAATTCTCTTTAGTTTTTCTCAGCGTCATTTGTCATTATCCGTTTCGTTCATTTTCCCCAAATTTCGATGTTTTGCTCACGATTTATGCTTTAATCTTTGCTTTTCTGAAGGAGCGAGGTGAGGAAAAGGGGGTTTTTTCAAAAAGGAAACCCTAAGGGAGTACAGATCCAACAAGGACGATGAGGTCAGTGTCCATTCTACAGATCTACATGAATTATTTCGATGTCCATTTTAGAATTAGGATTTGATTCTCATAGTATTGTGGTGTACACTCTGTAATCTTGGCAACGTGAGAAACGCTAACGAGATTAGTGATGGGCATTAAGCTATTGCATTGGAATAATTTTTGATAAAATGACGGTTTAATACGCATAGAAATAAAGTAATCTGTTATGGGTATTGTTTTAAAATTGTTAAGTGAGAAAATGAAGTTGGTCTCTGTTATTAAATTTATTGTTATAAAGCAAGCTATCATATACAACACTCGAAACAACACAGCCATAAAATACTTTTACAATTCAAATAACCTAGTTTCGATATACTTCAACAATCTGAGCAACACGGTCTCCAGTAAAATACTTTTACAATTCAAATAACCTAGTTTCGATATACTTCAACAATCTGAGCAACACGGTCTCCAGGTTCCGGAACGGTCCAAACAATGTGCCTAGTTTCGATATACTTCAACAATCTGAGCAACACGGTCTCCAGGTTCCGGAACGGTCCAAACAATGTGCTCTTCAGATTTTAAAAAAAGGTCATCTGTGTTTTTTTGAGAAATTCCTAGACCATTATAATATTTTTTTTCTTTTATTTAATTTCACGAAGTTGTTGTTAGACCCTAGAGGGGGGGTGATTAGGGTCTTATGCTAATCTAATCCCAATAAAATGCTAATTAAAATTATATAGATCAATATGTTCTTGCAAGAGATAGATATGAACAATAATAACAATAAGAGTATGCACAAATAAAATATGAGACAAGCAAAACACAAACACACGATATGTTTACGAGGTTCGGTCCCCACGACCTACGTCCCCGCTCCTCACCTCGAGGAGATATCCACTATCACAATCCGGTTTGGAAGCCGGAACTTCTACACACTCGGTTTACAAGATCACCGAAAACTCTCACACTACACAAACACTAAGCAATCACACTTTGCACACTAAGTGTAAGAACCTAGCCCGTGTCCTCCTCCTCAAGTGCTCGATTACAACCTCTCCCTAGGTTCGTCAATCGACGCCACTCCTATTGGATTTGACCCCGTCTCTCGCCTCACACTTCTCTCGGTGTACAAGTGTATTACAAGTGATTCTCACAAATAAAAGTTAAATACAATGATTTGTTCTCAATTAACAAGTGAGAACACAATAAAGCTCACACTCACTAAATCACACCCCACAACCCACAATATATAATATGGAAATATCAAGCTCAATAAGTGTGTGTGATAATAGTGAATGAAACTCAATAAATATAACTCAATGAATATAGCTTAATCAAATGAAAGTGAAATAATAAGCTATATAGGAAAGAGTTTAGAAAACTTCTCAATGAACAAGAAGAGCTAAAGAAATAATGATTCCAATAGGATTTGAAAGCTTCTTCTTGTTGTAGAAAAACTTCTCTTGAAAACAGAT